TCTGATGCGGCGGTATTGAAGATGTGCAGAACGACAACACCGACCAAAACAACAAAAACGACAACCAAGAACTACAACGACCAAGATCAACACAAGCCGACCTGGACAATTAGGAGATTTGATGCGGAGGAAGTTAACAGACTATGTGACAGCTTCAGATGCGAGGATACGGATGTGGACCACATGAGAGAATTTAGAACAACGATCCAGAGGTTGTTGAAGCACACGTAACATTGCATCCGCCAGGGGGGCGCGTTGAAATCAAGCGCATTAACGGCGGTAGGATGTGTGTAGTACGTAGATGCAGGTGTATCATGCAATGATACTTGTAGATGCGGTATCACAAGTGACGTGGTAGAATGTGACATGTAGGGACGGGTTCAGCGAGGAGCTCGTGCATGAACCGATTGTTGATCAGAGGACTGTAATTGTAGCGAGAGCAGGAGGTGTTGCGAGCCCCCAACAGGCTCACTCCGACCTATCCCTCTTCTACCGATCTCTGCAACTGAGCCAGGCTCCGGTGCCACCGGCAGGAAAATAACGAGTCCCACTGAGGCAACAATGATACCAACTTCAGTCTCCACGACTGCAGACGACCCTTGGGTACAGGGCACCTCGACACCACACATTGATACAGTTTTCATCCTTTCTACTCCGGGCGTTAGCTAGCCCTTTTTGGTGTGTTTGAATGCATCACTAGCCGGGGTAAGGATGGGTTCAACAACTTATTGTCCCAATTTCCGAAGTTATAGCTCTACCAGCAGGGACAGGAGAGAAAGAAGGGGGAAGGGAGGGTGGGGAAAAGGGGGTACTCAACAATTATGCATGCCATACCCATCAGACCATAGACCTCGCATTCCTGTAAAGACAGGACGGAGCACACCGGGTTTACGCCAGACCAGGCTTGAGAGGGGGGGAAGGGGTGGGGGGAGGGGAGGACAAGCACGAATATACACCATTCTCTAACGGAGGATGAGCCAAAAAAATCCTGCCTGGTTGGATCTTGGGCGATTCTCTGTTGAGCATGAAACGTCACTCAATCCTTCCCCCTCACATACACGCCATCCTCGAGACATGAAAACAACAGTACGTCCACGATAGAGGACGCTTGATCTCATGCTGGCTCAATCAATCTTGTTCAAGTCAGCACATGTGTCCGCCTTCGTGCTCCGTGATCAGCCACCCACACGCATCATTCCCGGCATTGGAGTTAGGGTCGCCGCTGGTGCAATGTAACCCCACTATGTAACCCCACTATGCCGGGGAAACTATGGGGTTCCAGCAGTGTCAGCGATCCCAGTGCCAAGCGATAGTGATAATCTCATATCGGGTACCCGCACTATTCGGACGGCACCATCAACAGGAAACTCACCCTCACTCCCCTTGGTTTACAAGTTCACATTTGGATGCAGCTCCGGGTGCGAAGACCCGGTTCACGTAGTTGCGGAATGTCCGTTGTACGACAAGGAGAAAGAAGTGTACATGACTGAGCTTGGAAAAGTAGAAGGAAGGTGTGAGGACATCTTTGAGGCATGGGAGCAGCCAGGGGAAGGCGGTAGCTGTACTGGGGCATAGGAAGTGGGCTGAAAAGGCGAAAAGAGATAAATGAAGGGATAGACAGGCTATGGAAAATAACTTTTAGCCACCTTCGGCAAAGCAGGAAGGAAAGATTGACCATCGGTGGTCGGTCACGTGGGCAAAATGTTTCGTTCTCGCGAGGACGCATGGTCAATGGTCTACCCGCGAAGGCATGCAAAACGTGAGAGTATGTCCCCCCCCCCTTGAGTCACCCAGACCGCTTTCCATGACAACGTGTAGAACGGGCTTTATCTTACCGGCTTCTTCTCCCATTCCTTAACTTTCCCTCGAAGTTCTTCCACCTATTGGTCGGCCAATCAAAACGGCAGGCGCGACGTTGGAGCACACGTGCCAACACCGAAGGTAAGTTGTTGCAGGTGTTGTTGTGTGGGGGTGGTAGGGTGGGGTCCTTATCGTGCTGTGCTGCAGCAAAGCAGGCAGGGCTCCTTGTTCCTAAACGATGACACACGTGCAAGAATTCAGACACGATGGGAATGACGACAAGAGGATACTTCGGATAAGGGGAGACAACATGGGGCACCTCGGAAGATAGATTTTTCTCTTTCACGACGAGCACGTCGAAGCCCTTTCTCATGGCGCACTTGAACTCGTACAGCTCGTCCTGCTCAAAAAAGAAGGGAAAATAAAAATGCCCATGAGAGGATATATTGACAGCAACACAAGGAGGGAGAATACCAACCAAACGGTGAGAGCCACAACACACGACTTGTCCACACAAACCTACACCTGCACCAAGCCGCTTGGTACCAAGCCCCTACTAGACTAAAGCGCATCGATGAAGAAAACACGAACCTCTAGCCCCTCCATGACTCTTTCCAGTCCTCCGGAATATTCTCCCCCGTTGACGGCCAAGTGTCGAATATCCTCCTTGATCTTTGACATGGTCGCCTGACAACGCAACAGCCAACGCCAAGCAATCAAACAAGGCATTCCGTAGGAAGGTTGGTTGAGACTGACTCGAGTACAGTCGACCTCTGGGGCAAGCATGAACGAATCCGCTCACACATGCAAAAAAAGAAAGAAGAAGGCACGTCGGCGTGACCAGAGGGACCGCGCGCTCTCAACGGACGTGATGTTGCTCGGAGATCAGAAGAAAGAGGTACATGGGTCATACGTCGTAGCAGGAAGGGTTCATTGCTGACTCTTCTGGAGTCAATTCTGTGAAGGTACACAGACATAATCTACGCTGTAGTTTTGGTAAATTCTTGGATGGAAAAAAAATTACGTTTGAGGGGGCACCTGTTAGGAATGGTCACGGGTTATAAGGGGCGGGGGGTGAGCTAAATAATCGATCCGGGCCGGGTGAATGACGGTGATCATGGGCGAAAGCGAGGCATATAGAACTAACTGCCTTGGGCGATGCACAAGGAAAAAACCATCCCCACGAATAAAAAAGGCAAAGCAGGGTAGACGAGAGAGACGGAGAGGATCGGGAAGATAGCGTATACCTACAGGCAAAAAGGAGAGGGACACACAGAGAGGAAGAGAGACAGACAGACAGCGAGAGAGAGAGCGACATACAGAGACAGAGACAGACAGAGAGAGAGAGAGAGAGAGAGAGAGAGAGAGAGAGAGAGAGAGAG